TATTTCTTTCATAGCAAACATGCATGGTATTTCAAGCTGATGCTAGCAGACGTGCTTTGCTTTCTCTCTTTCTCTCTCTCAAACACATACACTCCGAAAAGTACATACATACACAGCTAAAACATACATGTTATACATACTTGCAGCTGGAACCTTAACTCTAACACGTATAAATATCTAGGGGCTAAAGAAAGAACCAAGTTTTAAAATTGCTTTTCAAAAAAGAAATGGAATTTTGACATTGACATCTGATATCACACTTATCCTTTGAAACTATGTTATACTTTTGTGTTTCGTTTGCTACAATACGTTCTGAATAAATACGCGCGTTCTTTAGTGATGTATTAAAACAATGTTTCAAAAATGTATTCAAGCGGAATCTACTCTGAAATATTAATAAGTAATTAATTACGCAGGTCACAAACATGTTTTTGTTTAAAATAGAAATAATTTTATTAAAACACAAATTTATTTATATACAATGTATATTAAAGGTGTCTTTTAAACAGAAGTTAATATATTTCAAAATTATGAACTCTTCTTTAGTTTAAACATATTTTATTTCTCAGAATATATATACATGTTATAATTCACAATATACAGATGCAATTCAAATATTCTTTAAAAACAGGATTAGAATGAAAGACAACATGTCTTATGAAATTCTTCTCCTAAGTGAGTAATTGACATGTAATAGGCGCTTAAATAATTACATATTTTATAATCTGAGACGAATATAATATAGAAAAAAAAAAATTTTGAAAACAAAATATATTAGAGAAAAAGAAAACACAGAAATTGATATGTATTCAAATGCTTTAAGAAACATTGTATATGTCATGTATGTTCCATTGAATAAATTTAGGATGAATACATATTTAGAATGAATATATCAATAGATTGAATTAACATTCAAATAAATATTATCATACAAAGTAGAAAAGTATTTGACAATAACACAGAAAGGTGAAAAGGTAGTGAAGAAGGAGAAAGATAAATAATGAGGTATAAAGTAAAGGAATATAATGTTTAAGTGATTGGGTGTTAAATGAATCTTTTTGTCTCTTGGATGTAAGTGTGTACGTGTGAAAAAATTATGTCATTAGTTTGGTCAGAAAGGTCTGGGTTTGCCTAAAAGTAGAACATTTAAATCAATGTCAAAGTTATTTAAATTTCGAAGTAACTTTTGTCGAGCTGTGTCAAATTGTGTACATTCGAAGAAGAAATGAAAGTTATTTTCTATTTGGCCGCAAAGACATAAAGGTGATGCAGTTATGTTTTTCAAAAATAAATGGTAGTTTAGAGAACTACACTTTGTTCGAAGTCTTGTATGAAGAATTGAAGTTTTCTTTCACCAGACAAGTAATACTTAGGCGTGTGCCGTATGTTTTTTCTTCAAATTTTTGTTTAAATGATGTGATAGTTGGAAGGTTACGGACGTCGTGTGGAAGATTATTCCATTCCCTTATTGCAGTCGGAAAAAAAGAGTTAAAATAAAGTGTAGTTCTTGCATATATTCCCGGAATATTGTCACTATTTTCTTAGGTTGTACCTATTATTAGTTGATGTTGGGAGAATTGAGAAAAGATAATCTGGAGCTAGTCCGTTTTGAATTTTAAAAAAGTAAGATCATTCTATGTATATATCGTCTTTCTTCGAGAGATTCCCAGTTTATTTCATTTGAAAGATTTTCGAGTGAAACAAGTCTTGTACATCCGGAAGCAATACGAGCACATTCGTTTTGGATTTTGTTAAGTTCGTCTGATTCAAAATTTGTAGCATTTCCCCATATAACATCAGCATATTCAAGTAATGGACGAATGAAAGAAGTGTAGATTGTCTCTAGTGATTTTCTATCTAGGCGAAATTTAAGTTTTCTCATAATATTTACCCTATTCCATGCTTTATTTGATATATAATCTATATGTGAGTGCCATGTGCAGTTATTCGAAATTAAAACTCCAAGATGTTTGTGGTCGGAAACTTCAGTAATAGTCTGATTATTCATTTGTAGTTCTGGATGTTGATTTGGATTTCTCTTTCTAGAGACTAATAAAGACTCAGATTTAGAAGGATTAAATGAAACAAGCCATGTATCTGCCCATAATGAAATTCTGTCTATATCCGACTGTAATGTGATAGCAGCTGTTTGTGGATTTTCAACAACAAGATAAAGACTAGTATCATCGGCGAATAAATTGATACAAGATTGTATATCTTTAACAATATCGTTAATAAATATGAGAAAGAGGAGAGGGCCAAGAATAGAGCCTTGGGGGACACCAGCTGAAAGGTAACCAATAGAAGATTTAGAATTAGAAAGGACAACACGTTGTTGTCTATCTTTTAAATATTCGAGAAACCAAGTATAGACCTTTCCAGAAATTCCAGCATGTTTCAATTTAGTAAGTAAACCCTTGTGCCAAACCTTGTCGAAAGCTTTACTAATGTCAAAGAAAATAACTCGTACTTCTAGACCGTTATCAAGGGCTTTGCAAAGAGTATCGTAAATAGACACTAATTGATTGACTGTTGAATCGCCTGGTATAAATCCTGATTGAACTGGAGTAAGGAAGTTATTATTTTGCAAATGGTTAAAGAGATGTTTGAATATAAGTCTTTCAAATACTTTCTCCATGGTGTTTAGAAGTGAAATAGGACGATAGTTACTAGGCAGGGATGGATCACCTTTTTTGAAAATTACAGTTACATTAGCTTCTTTCCAAGAAGATGGTATGATACAACTTTGGAGAGAGTAGTTGAATAGGTTACATAAGGGGACAGAAAGTTTCTTGAGAAGCTTCTTTTAAGAATTGTATTACTGATTCCATCAGGACCAGATGCTTTTATCGATTTTAAGAGATTTAAGGACAGATTGTGTTTCGTCTGGAGTAAGAACAAGTTCAGATAATATATTACCATTCAATGGAGGACCAAGATCGGGGACATCTTTATCTGAGTTGTCGACTTGAGTCTGCTGAAGAAAATATTCATTTAGGAGATTTGCCTTCTCTTCGTCAGAAAAATGTAATTTGTTTGTGTTGCTCTTAAGTGGGGGCATTGTTTGACTTGTTGTAGATGAAATGAATGTTTTTAAAGTTTTCCACCAATCCTTAGATGATAATGATTGTTCTTTTAGTTTATTTGCCATATTACAGTAATAAAACTCTTCTTTCGCTGCCTAGTGAAAGATTTCCTCTTGGGAATAATGTGAGTGAAAAGCTACATAAAACATTAACCCATTTGTGCCGGAATTTTATTTTTATATAAGAAATGTATAAAACATATAGTAACCATATAGTTATAACATATATCCGTTTATTTTTCAAATATAAGTACTGTATTTTTTATTTTAGTGTTTTAATATTTTGTCTACAAAAGTAGACAACAGGCGCAAATGGGTATATGTAAAACACATATAGAATATATGTCCAGATAACCTATTGTTGGTTTATTTGATAACTTTTACTTGAAAAAATCCTTAAAGTTTATACAGGCAATGTTTTCTATTACTTTTCCTACAAAAGTAGACATTAGGCACAGAAGTGTTCACTCTGAAATTCATTCTGAATATGAATTATTATTGTTCATGTCTTTTGGCTTTGATCGTATGAATACCTAAACACTGTGAAACATTTCAAAGCATTTCCTGTGCACTCCAACATTACATTTGGAACATTGTGTCCTGCATTTTTTTCCACACAATGAACAGCGCACTTCTTTTGCTGGCTCTGCGTAATGATTTTTTACCATCAAGTCGGATATGGTCTGGAATTCTTCTTGACAATGGCCTAATCCTACCTCTTGGTCTGCCAGGGCTGACAGCAGGTGTACGCCCCTGAGCAAGCAGCACAGTAACCAGAGCTCGTCTGACACCTAACAGATCTAATGGTTGCCTCAATCCTGCATCAGTAGCACGGTAAATGTGCCAGGTTTGCTGCACCGCAAGGTCAATGCAATACATAAACACTGGCCACCACCACTTTCTTGGATCTGATAGAGATACGATACTTCTCAACATTTTGATCCATCCTGTCCACACCTCCAATTGTCTGGTTGTAATGCTTTATAAGGTATGGCTGCGGAAGGCGCACCCTAGCTTTTGCCTGCTTTGACCACCGTGTTGCTTGTTGCAATGGTTCAACTCCATGGCAATTTGAAACCACATTCACTATATTGTTGTCATTCCACCTCACCACTATCAGACCTTTGTGTGCGTCATACCTTTTATCATAGTTTCCTCGTTGCGTTTTTCCCATGTCTTTTACATTTTCGACAGGACAATCTTCTATTCGGTTGGCACGGATGGTTCCAGTGCAAGATATTCCCATATCTGTAAGCCGGTCTACGAGCTTCAGGGAAGTAAATAGATTATCAAAAGTCAGATGGTATGCATCATCTTTCTGCAGCTCTGAAAGCAGGTCCATAACTACTGCTCCGCCCATTCCAAGGAAGCCAGGATCATGGGTTTGGTGGCCTTTTGCCCCTTGATAGGGCTCAAATAGTAAAACATATCCAAGTGCTGTCGTTAACGCCCACATCTTATAACCGAACCTAATTGGTTTCCCACGAATAAACTGTTTTCGCTCCGTGTCGCCCATAGTACGGGATCATGCTTTCGTCGATTGAAAGGTTTTTCTCTTTCAAGAAGTATAACAAGAAGCGCTCATTCAGCAGACATAGCAGTGGTCTTACTTTGCTAAACTTGTCCTCTCTGTCAAGATTGTTGTTATCGCAAAGATGTACATATCGCACCAATATGTCGAATCTGTCTCGCGGCATTGTACGAGCTATTGCCTCATTCCTTACGTCATCATCCCGGCTCCAGAACTGTCTCCGTCTTGGCACAGTGTTATAGCCTGATATAAGCAGAAATTGCTAGGAAGATCCTAATTTCTTGGGGTGAAGTTGAAAACGAATGGTTGCCTTTTGAACCAGCATATCTTATACTCTGTTTCAACAATCATGTTGATCACGTCATCATCAAAAAATAGTTGAAGATGCCATCTGGTGTTTGCGGCCATCGACTTTTGTCTATATTTGAGCCATGCCAAGTGAATCTGTCTTTATCTTGCTCAGGTAGATCTTTATTTTCCCACTTCCTCTTTACTGGTGCAGGTCGTTTGGGACGCGGAGCTGGATCCCGTAGTGCAATTCTTACTTGAGGTCTTTTTTGCAATATTTGCAGGCACTTCGTATTCATCTGTATCAGAAGAATCTGAAGAATGGTCAGTTTCCTGAAAAATAAAATATGATAAATATAAAAAATCTTATTCTCAACTGGATTTACTGTACATTATTTACTTACTTGCTTCGTATTTATTTATTTATCTATTTATTATTTATTTATTTTATTTATTTATTACTAACTAGATCGGAGTCTGATGCTGAATCAACAACATGACGTCCATCTAGGCGAATAACTGTCGCTGTTGCTTGTTGGTCTAACTGACGTCCACTGAGGTTGTTGTAACCTAATTTTTCATCTTCACTTGCACTATCTTCATCTGTCAATTCATCTACAGGAGGTGGTTGAACATGTATATCTGCCCTTTCAAAGTTACCTTCATCCTCAAGCATTGATATGATTTCATTTACTGTGTATCTTCTGTAAACAACAAAATATTTTCATAATGATAAAACGTACCCATTTGATCCTATTGTCTACTTTTGTAGACAAAATCTAAATTGACTGTCATAACACATTTTATACATATTTCTGAATTATAAAACAGGAATTGAGCAGAAATATAATTATACAATATAAAACAATCATACTTTATGATATAAAATAAAAACAATATAAAGTTTTACATACCTGTTTCTGCTAGCCATTTTCAATAATATTTTCAAGGCAATTTTTATCACATTCTTGTTGAAAACACACTGCAAATAACGTAGTGGTCTGCATTTTGTCTAGCAAAATAGTCCAATTAACGCTTATCATAACAACAAGTATAGAATAACAATGATAAACAAATGTGCGCTCATAATTAGGTCCTAGTGTACTGATAACTGCTAGTGTCTACAAAAGTAGACAACAGGCGTAAATGGGTTAAAAGATCTCTTAGGAAATCGTCTAGAACATATCGATCTTAAAGAGGTATATTTGAATGAAATCATATATATTGTATGCCCTTTTGTCTTTCGAACTTATAAAGAATTGTACACTCATCTCATATTTTCTATTTGAATAAAATATTCTTACATTGTGCGTTCAATTCTTGTAAATAAGTATACTACCGTCTATATTTATTGTAATAATCCACCATATGTAACATACAGAGAGTTTGCATTTTAGTAAACAAAATTTATTTCAGGTCTTATACATCAATGTAAGAAATTATTTATGTCTGCTAATAAAGATATTATGAATCATATTGACGATTGCGTCAGGATATTGAGTGTATGGCGCACTTGAATTTATTGTTTTGTAATCTGCTGCTATTTGGAATTGCGTTGTGTCAATTCATGTATATATGACGAATGTTCGATAAAACAAGGTCTATTACTGTTATATAGAATCCTCTGTTGCAATATAATGATAATATCCCTCGTTTAATTTATTTATGACATTTTATTTACCATTCACTGTTTTTAAAAGTGGTGTTTCCTTGATAACAATAAACTAACTGGCCTGGTGCTACACTGTTATTGTGTTTCAATTTTCTCTGATTTGATCAATATCTCAGCAACCACCGAATTGATACCAAATGAAATTCCGTTACTATGGAGTTTGTGATGACATTTGTTTAAACTATGAAGTAATCTGTATCTTAATCACAAGAACTACTTATTGCATGCTTTTTGTTTTCGTTAAATAGCAAGAGTGGATACTATAAAAAAGCGCGTATCATGGTCTTGTAACATATTTTATATGTTCGAAGTAGGGCCCGTAATTTCAAAAAGAAGTTTTTGTTTTATTTATATTTTGGTCCTATTTTGTCATAATTATGCAGTTCTTGGACCCGGTCGATTATAATTGGAAACCGAAGCCTATTATTGATATATGTCGTTTTGCTTTTACAGCCAGTCAACATGTAATGGTCATATCGTGCCAAATACTATGATTATTATACTAAGTTAGTTAAATCTTAGTTAACAAATTTATTTCTGTTCAGTAATTGATCAGGATTTAATGTATCTGAGGCAAAACGTTCTCTTAGTGATTTTATAGTAAAGTTCTTTAAGTTAATATATTCGATACATTATATCAAGAGTTTCATATCAAGATCAAGGCATTCAAGAAGAAAATATTTGGCTGTGAAATATGCATTACAACTAATAAATAGATTGCATACTATCTCTCGTGATGACCGTGTCTATCCTTCTAGACTCATGTCGAAAACATGCACTATGCATTCAAATTCACTCGAATGTTTAACTATAATGTCAATTTCTCAATGTGACTTTACATGAGAAAGATCTCTATTTTTTCTCTGCGAAACGATATGAAGTAAAGAACCAGTTAAATTTAATATATAACTGAATATGATTAAATCAGTCTCTATTCAACTATATCTGTAAAAATGTTTTGTTTCTTTGCGCACGATTTGTTGGCAGGAAATCATTGATTAATCATATTTCTACAAATAAGATAAAAAATTTGCTCACAAATATTCTTTACAAGTGAGAATACGAATAAGACACACGGCCATTTTATGTATGCGATGAAGATGATGATACAACGACTGTTTCATTGCACAATGATATTTGATATAATATGTGTAAAAGTGGCGACAGACTTCTAGGTTGCTTTATTCGATAAAATGCTATATTCACGATCCATTCAACATCTATCACAGAAATCATTAATTTTAAGTAGCGAAAAGTCATAGAACAGTACCCACTTGTAAATGAAGCAGGCTCGGTTTTTTATGTTTGCAGTGGAAACGATAAACCTCATTCACTGAATTGCATTATATGTACTATCAAATATTGGTTATGGTTGTTGAAATTGAATATTGCGATATATATTCCTAATAACGGTTTAAAGTTAATCAATAACTTCAATGTTGGACAAAGAGTCGCCACAAGCATTGGTCTCTAGTACAAATGCATATAACAAAATAATGAAAATGGTACGACTTTCTTTTTGTCGAAACATGCACTGTAACATTGCCTTTATCAACTTAGTGTCAACTTCTTTAAAGGTCCTAATCTGAATATGTTCAATGTCACTTCTAATTGGAAATTAAAAACAGCTCATATTATTGAATAAACTACCGAAATATGTACACGCCCGTTTATGACTAGTGCTGTTACATGCAATCATCCTGAATTGTTTCTTTAGTATCTATTCGTTTGCAATTATACTTGGCTGCATTTTACGCTATACTTTACACCGAAATAGACGACAACAAAAGAACATTTTTCCAATGTTTATGAATAATATCAATTTTCTACGTGAATTTTCAATACATTATATTTAGAAAATAGGATTGATGTTCTTAGACATTTTATCCGTTTTTCGGAGATGATGATTTGTCTCACGGAAAATGATATCTGTTGATATGTGTGAAAACGTGTGTCGACAAGTTTCTTTATTCAGATTTAATGTTACATTCAAGGCGTCCACTCTCTTTATATATTTTTCTTGATCATATTCATTTGTTCACCATTGTCCTTAACTTTCATATGTTGAGAAGAATTATAATAGGTTAGCAAGGAAAGTGGCATTTAATAGGATACTGTTTATCAAAAGTGCTCAGAATACATCTTCATTGTAGGTAATTTTTGATCATGATAAATGTAACCAAGGAATAACCAGTGTGATCTTTAAATAAATTCATTATTGGATCAAATCGAATTCCATAAAGACTCATTCACGTTTGTATAAATCTAGCCTCGTTTTCATGAAGAGGTCCGAGTAATCCATATCAATTCATTATTTTAACCGCCTAGCCTCAATTTCTTGTTCAAAGTCAAACGATTAAATCCTAACTAGTTAAATACTGAAAGTAAATGTCAAAATATTAGTTGTATGAAATAAAGTCTTCTGGAATCATACCTATATACCTATATCATGTCAAACCTATTTTAGAAACGATTGGCGCCTCGTCAATATGGGTTTGCTAGCTGTGTACATATCTAATAAAATCTTGTCTTGTACTCAGCAATTTATTATAACCTTACGATGTATAATGTTATTTTCATCAGGGTGCAGCATTTGAAATGTTTGCCGTATTGTTATTATGAAATAATAAACCTCTAATAAAATGATATGAAGATAGGAATTACAACTAGAAAACAATTTTTGGCAGGTGTAAATAATATTTGACAAAGTGCTTTACGAAGTAAAAGAACATTTAACTATAGACGACTTATGATATGATAAGAGCAACCAAAAGAGTTATAAATAAAACTAATAAAGCTATGAAGTATGGAGGGTGTGTAATACTAGACAAAATGTTGAGGTTGTGTTTTGTTTTGTTCTTGCACTCAAATCACTGTTTCTTTTTATGTTTTAATCAATAAATCAAGATTAATCATCTTCAGTAATCTGTTTTCCTTTCAACGTCAATCCTAGTCAGTCCAGAAAGCCTCATGAAACTCCAATCAGATATAGTTTGAATTGATGTGCTCCTTTATTCTCCTCCTAAACCTGTTTGCTATTTTAGAGAGGGGAAGTCTATTCTTCCTATAAATAATGAGAACAAAGATCAACAAGGCAAAGGCACGGGAAGCAGCCCCCGACACAACTAGCAACAACAGCACGGTTCCCAGAAGGCACCGAACCATACTCACATTAAGGTATTCATTGAATGACAGCATATACTCTAAGCGCTCTAGTAAATAAAAAAAATGCAGCTATGATAAAAAATTCCAATAGCCTATGGCCTTAATTTGGATTTGGAACGATTTGTTTCATGTTGTATAGTGTTATGAAGTTGACAAATATACAACAGTAAAGTAGGTGAGTAAAGCAAATTAAAAATCAAACATTTTGATGTGAATCCGATATTTTGTGAAATTTGTAGGGTACGCCCTAGTTATATTTTCGAAAGATTTCTATTTCTCAAATGTGTTATGTCGTCCATGATTTTACTTATCAAGATAATAATGTGTTCACTTAATTTAAATTTGCATGTTCCTTACATATTAAAAATGAAAGCAAACTTATCTGTCTGTAATAATATATTGTCTGGTTTAAACATATTTATTTAAGCTCGATTGCGAAACAAGCTCCTGCAACTTATATTAATCACTTTCGAGTCAGCTTCCTGGAACCAACCAGTACTGGTGTCATAAGAAGAAACATGGTCGTGACCCGATTAGGGCTCGAACCCATGATCTCAGGGTTGAGAGGCAGACACCTTAACCATTAGGCCACCACTCCCCTTTGAATGTTCTTAATATATTGTCTGATTAATATAAATAATAAAATGGAAATTTCAAAGATTTAACTATTGAATTTAACTACTGAGAAAAATGCTTTAAGATTAATGAATAAAGGCAATAAAGTGACATGGGCACTATTCAGTTTTTAATCTTGTACGGTATAAGATTTGAATAAACTATATTTCAATTAATCATACGTATATTAAATGTTGTTTTCCATGCAATATAAGATAAAAAAATGAGTGTTATCATCACAATAACATTCCCCTAGAGGTTGAGTAGTTGCCTTTAATGGTTGACGCCACCGTTTATCGTAAGAGGCGAATGCATGAGTTCGAGTTAGTGGAGTCTATGTACCTCTTAAGTCCAGCAGATGAGATGTGATCATTGGTGTTGCTTTAAGATTGTAACACTGGAGGTAAGCCAAAATCATCTTTCCTGTTTCGGTGTCATATGACCTTGATTGTGTTGTTGCGCCGTAAAACCAATAAAACAAAACATAAATCATTATAACATCAAGGAAGCAATTTTATGCATACAAATTAATAAAAATTATTTTGTTGAAAAGACACAGATGTGAACATATTTATTACATTGTATATCGGAATTTTTAAGACTGCCCGAAACATTTTTACCTTT